TGTCAACAGCCAGATTAAAACCAGGACGGTCAAGTTTATAGTTCCTTCAGTTTTCTGATTGTCCTAAATGTAATTAAACAAACTAAAAACCAACCAACAAAACACTGGGAGCCAGAAAGATAAATGCTACTAACTCCCTTGATGGGCAGCAGGGCAGAACTGCTTAAACTGGGGTGCCCAGGGTGGGGGGGCAGCATGAAAAGAAGGGGTTCCCTCCTGTCCCCGGCTTGTGTTCTAGTTCACAGCTGTCTTCCACAGATTTTCAGGGAGTGACTCAAAATCTTGTTTTTATTGTACATAATTTTAACTCAGTTGAAGAACAGAAGTAGCAACCTAATGTAAACACTATGATAGCCGTTCTGGAATGTCTGAAGTTTGAGAGAGAGGGGGTTAGGGAGAGTCTCTCAGCTTTCCCTACGTGCAGTGTCCAAACTCCTCTGAGGACACGGGCGTCGGGAACCAAGTGATGCCATTACTATTGGACAAGTCTCCATATTTTACCTACAGAGACAAATGACCCTGACCCACTTTCATGAAATTTGAGGAAACCCACCTGAGGCAGGCCCCATCATGTCCAGATCTGAAGGGGTTTTGGAACCAATGAAACACACCAGAGATAACTTCGTTTTCTGTCCCCAAAACAAGTATAATGCATGTGACGGTATTGTTGATTCTAATTTAGACCCTGATTACATATTGTTAAGTCTTAAATTCTGCTTCATTAATTGTAGCACTGGNCCCCTGTATTTGCTGAAAACTGGGAATTGGGTCTCAGGACCTGAAGAATATTTTTGGCAAGAAGACTTCATAGGCCACCCCCCCAATTTCAGTATCTCTTTTGTGCCAGTGATGCATCAGAGGACAGCATGTATCTATAACCCCAAACTTAGTGCTCTCACAGGGGACAGTTTGTCGTTATTGTCACCTGGCTCCTAAGCGTCTTAGCATCTCTGTCATGTAGAAACAAACATGTAACGCTGAATTGTATTCACAGAGAACTTGGCATGGTTGCTTTTATATAGTAGGGATGCTTTAGGTTTTTTTTAAGCTGAGCCATCCTGCCACCTGTTGGCAGCTCAGCAGCTGCTCAGCTTGGGCTGAGAATCGAACCGCTGTTGCTCAGAGCTCAAACTCTTGAGCGAGCTCTTAACCAACTGAGCCACTAGGCCGGCCCTCTAGTAGGGATACTTTAAATTGATAGATCATTTAAGGAGTTTCTGGACTTGGACAAATTTGGGGTTCAGCTTGGCTGCTAGCTGTGTGGTCTTGCACATCTCAGTCTGTTTCTATCTAAAAATGGGGACTCATCACAACAGCTACTTCATAGCACAGGATCTGGCCTAGGAAAAGCGCTGTCAGTATTAGTGTGATTGTTAATGACTGTAGCAGCCATGGTAGTCATGGAACCAGGAGCGTGTCAACCTGAGCCCCCTCGTTTCTAGGAGAACCACCCTCTGTGGCACGCTGGACTACTTGCCCCCAGAGATGATCGAAGGCCGGATGCACGACGAGAAGGTGGATCTCTGGAGCCTCGGGGTGCTTTGCTATGAGTTTTTAGTTGGGAAGCCTCCTTTCGAGGCCAGCACATACCAGGAGACCTACAAGAGAATATCGCGGGTAAGACATAACCAGAGGCACCCATCTCTTGTGTTAGAATCCCTCTGTCCTTATCGGCCTTCCCTTCAGCTGTGAGCTGAGTATCGATACTGTTCTAAACTGTGGTTTGTGACTGTCACTTATTGTACTCCAGGTTGAATTCACATTCCCTGACTTTGTACCAGAGGGGGCCCGGGACTTCATCTCAAGACTGCTGAAGCATAACCCCAGCCAGAGGCCGACCTTGAAAGAAGTACTCGAACATCCTTGGATCATAGCAAATGCTTCAAAACCATCAAGTGGCCCCAAAAACAAAGAATCAGCTGGCAAGCAATCTTAACACTGTTGCAGGGGGAGCAGCCCATGGGCCAGGGCTGCTGGATAATCGGTCGGAAACAGACTCCTGACATTCTTACTGCTGCCTGCCTGCAACCCAGAGTGCTCCAGAAAATGTTTGTTTTTGTGCTGAACAGGCGGGACCTCGGCCTCCTCATTCAGAAAGTCCCACTTCAGTAAACATGATTCTCTGAAGTGGCCACGCGAATCGTGCTGATTTCACTGGTTTTATAACCCTGAGGCAGGGTTCAGGTTCAGCCACCAGGCAGCCTGTTGGAGTCAGGCGTCCTTGTGGGACGTGAACCCAGAGTCAGAGTGGGCAGAGCGGCCCCTCTGCCCTGACTCGATCGGTTCCAGAGCTGTGCAATAACCTTCAAAGCACCTGGGTGTGTGTAACTTATTGGGTGGCCGTGCCTGGTGAGGCTGTCAGAATGAGTATGTTAAATGTTAAAATAAAGACACATGTATAGACTTGTGGTTTTACTTCCATGGTGTCCCTTCAGGAATGCTGTGTGTCTGTCCATCACCGCTGTTAAGCCTGGTTATCTCGTCCTCTTCCCGCCTGTCTGGGACGTCTGTGAAATAGACCACATGCTCTCTGCATCTTGGGACTTGCTTGGGACACAGAGGAGACGTGTCTCAGATGGTTCTCAGTGTGAAGGGCTTTTAAAAAATGTTTTTGATAGTTTATATATTGTTTTTGTGAATACATTAAGACTTACAAAATGATAACTCTTAAAAGTTCTGTGTATAACCTTGAAATTATAATGCATTCTCCAGAAGTTCACAGTCCACCCTTTGAGAAATGCTGGGCAAAACCTGGGATTAGGTGGCAAGGCAGAGACGCCCCTGCGTGGTGCTGTCAGGGCTGAGGTTCTGCAGCCAGCCTGGCCTGTGGACACACACACATCCACCCACCCGTCCATCTGTCCTTCCACCTACCCACCCACCCACCTACCTGTCGGTCCATCCACCCACCCACTCACCTATCCGTCCATCCATCCCCTCACCCACCCGACTGGGGACACAACTTGGTAGGATGGCCCTTTGGGGGAGGAACTATGATGGGGAGCTCTGGCTGTGACGGGACGGTGGAGGGTATACCAGGAGTTGGGCGTGAGGGCAGCCAGTGCCCTCCCTCCATCCTGCAAATTGTCCCGTGCGCTCATGAACTGTTGGTCCCTCTTCTAGGCAGTGGACAATTCAGTGCCGTGCATGACAGCCCAGCTCAGAGCTGGACTCAGTGGGTCCTCATCCTGGGGTCTCAACTGACAGCAGTTCAAAGAAGTGGGTGCTCCTGGGATGGCACGGGGCTGAGCAGGTGGTCGGGACAAGGGGAGGGGTCGTCAACACACCCTCACCTGCCCACCTCTGGGCTCTGACTGTGGTCTCAGCAGGATGGCAGAGAGCTCTGTAAGTGGGGTGAACTAGGCTTTGCAAACTGATTTTCCAAGTGTGGCCTTTGCCTGATTCTCCTGTGAAGGATTGTGTGCTTACCCAGAATCCCTCACTTCTCCCCGAACTAGGGACCTGGGTGCGACCTGGGTTGTGGCTGATAAAAGTGGAAGCCGCTTCAACAGCCAGTAGGGGCCTCTTTCTTTGCCTCTCTGGTCACTTGGCTCCATGGATACTTGTGGGTGGGTGGGTGGGGGGGGCTAGTTTTACTACAGTGGAGTTACGGCACGTGTATCAACAAATCCACAAGCACAGCTATCTGGAGCACATGGGTGGCTCCCACCTGCGCCGGCCTGGAAATGAGGAGGTACCATGAGAAGCAGGCCTGGCCCACCTTTGATCTCATGTTTTCTGAGTTCCTGATGTGCAAAGTGACATATCTGTTTCTAGCTGCCAATGTCATCAACCAAAGATGGTGAACTCACTGAGAACTAGTAGAGAAATATACTGGCCGACTTCCAAT